TCGACGGTGGGTTTCGAACTCTTGACCTGCCACTTGGTGAGGGTGACAACCTAACCACTACACTAGATCGCCACACCTCCTATTTGGAGTTCTTAAAATTATACTTGTTAAATTAATATTATTTAAGTTATCCTTTGATACTAAGCATTTTGTACAAGGTTTAGCAGAAGAAGCTGGTTGGTACATGTTTGCAAACTTATTGGCTTCAAGCATGTCAGCAATAATAGTTAATATTTGTGGGATGAAGATAATAATTCTTCTATGTATAACAAAATGAAGCTCTGGTCCTTCAATGATAAGCTTAAGAAGGATCAACATATATTTATGCAAGACTTCTCTTTGTAATTTCCAGAAGCTATTAGAATTTTTTGTTTTAGAATCCTTGGCTTTCAAGATTGGAAGATATCTGATTATTGCCTTAGATTCTGGTTTATTTCTCTGATGGTTTAGGATATTACCAAGTGATAAAAATATGGGATGCCCTGAAGATTTCCCATATGATCTAGGGTTGTCGCATCTGAATAAATGATAAGTGGTAATAAACGTTGCTCTGGAAGTAATGCAGACTCTTCTCGCTTCTACCAATTACAATTATACTACTCTTCAAAAATTTGATATTTACTGGTTCCTCTTATTTTTCTTTTATCTTCATATTGAAGAACCAGTGACTGATTAATACTATCGATCATTAATAAAGACTTGATAGTCTTTATTAATGATTAATAGAAAAATGGATACCTAATATTTTGAAACATTACAACAGGAATTTCTTTAAATATCATATAGGGAACAACAGAATCATCAAGAAATTCCTTTCTGGCTTTAGTTGATTGTGGAAGTGGCGAAATATCCAAATTGGAGAATTTGTTGAAGAGATTTATAAAAGCATCACTAGCCAAATTTGATAGATGATGCTTATTAACTAACTCCATAAACTCTCGATAAGCATCATTAGACCATTCAACACTTTGTGAATGATGCAAGTTATAATAAGCATCATCAAATGAAGCCTCTTTATAGTCTTCAGAATCACCTTTATCAGACACAGATTTTAAACTTTGCAACTTGCTAATAACATCAAACACTACATCTTCACAATCTTCAGAAACACTACTTTCATCTAACTTATTTTGAAGTGCTTCATCTTCTGCCAATGAAGGCATATTATCCATTTGAAAAGATTCAGTTTCCATATAAGAATGAACATCTGAACTTAATTCAGATTGAGGTAACATTGACATATTTTCGCTCTAAATGAAATATAAACGATTTATAACAATGAATAACGTATTATCTCGAAATAATGCCTGGGTGTAGTTTAAAATTTTTGCCCAAATTAAGCTTAATTCAGGCTAAAATTTTAAACTACACCCGGGCATTATTTTAAGATAATACAGTAAAGCAATAATAATAATTACATAATTATAATCATATACCTCATATTCTGTTGAATAATCATAATTTGAGTCATATTCTGGAAGATTCTAAATATCATTATCCGGTTCTTCACTATTGACTATTTGATTTGTGGAATCTTGAATATATGGATGTCTTTGCAAAATATGTTGCGTTAAAGCATAAGATTTTGTAAATTCTCGATTACAGTATTCGCACGGCCAACACATTTTGTAAAAAAAAAAAGAAATAAAAGAAAAAAAAAGCCAAAAGTACAAGAATAACAAAGATATTATATCAATTGTAAAGTTCAAATAATAAAAATAGTGTAAGAAATGATTATATCGATATTTATTAATATATATTATTATCTGATATCCTACTATGATCAGGACTATCAAATAACTTCAGTTATTTGATAGTTTTTTATATATAAAAGCTGACTTTAAAATTCAATAAAAAATAGTTTATACGCAAATCAATTTATTTATTTATTTCCTATATCTAATGCTATTATGCTACAATTACATAAATTAATGCTTTTTTCATTTTTTTATAATCTTTACATATTTCGCATTAATATTATAGTAATTTTTAATAACTGTATTGCTATTATTTAATTCTGGCTCTTGATCACAAACTTGATCATATTTGTTTTTCAAAGTTTCTGCTGCCGAATATGATAGTTCTGAATGCAATAGTCCTGAATATGATGGTCCTGAATGCGATGGTCCCAAATTTGGTGGTTCTGAATGTGACTTTTCTAAATGTGATGGAAGATTTACTTTTGAAGAAGCTTTCAAGGGTGAACAAAATGGTGTGAAGACTGAAGGCTGAGATAATATTGCTGAATTTGTTCGTTTGCTTAAAACTTGTTTGCAATTATTGTTGGCTATTACTTGTTTTTGCGAATTGTTTAAGAATTCATTATATTCATTTAAAACTTGTTCATGTGAGTTACGTAAAAGTTTGTTATTACTTGAAGGTTTCTAATAAATAAAATATTAAAACAAATATTTTTTTTAAATGAATAAAAAAAAAAACTTCACCTCTAAATTATTCAAAGGTATCAATCCAATATTATCTATTAACAAGTATAATTTTAAGAACTCCAAATAGGAGGTGTGGCGATCTAGTGTAGTGGTTAGG